TTATGAAAGCAGCCCTGGGGTGGAGGGAAGGGTTTCCTCCGGCCAGGCCCCTGCTGGCTCCACAGCCAGGAAGAGAAACAGGCCTGAGCCTACCCTTGGGGGGCCTGCAGTGGATGACGGGACAGGGTGCCCCGGAACACCAGGACCTAGGACTGTGGCCCAGGCATCTGGAGGTGCAAGTCTTCTTGGGACTTGTAAGGCCTGACCTCCCCTTCTCCTCTCAGCTTCCTCCAAGCCCCACACGCTCCTACACTCCCACAGCCATGGGCCTCTGCACCTGCTCTCCTCTCTGGGGCCTGTCCCCCGGCATGGCCAGCTTCTCCCCGACCTCAGACCTCAGCTCTACTGCCCTCCCTCAGGGAAGCCCCCCAACAAGGTCAAACCCCCTAACAGGGACCCCGGTCTGGCAGGGCCTCCTCCCTGACGGAGTCAGCATCTGGGTACCTCTTGGCGGAACAGCTGCTTCTTCCACGTCCCATGTGCTCACTTTCACATCCCCAGAGTCGGGCACGAGGGAGGCACCCAGCAAATGTCTCCCGAGTGAGGGCGCGTGAAGAAGGCAGTTCTGTCCGGCAGAGGGGCAGAATTGGAGAGGGCTTACAGAAAGCAGGACCTAACCGGCAGAGGGCAAGGAGGGGCCGTCCAGGCCGGGGACAGGTGGGCCTCTTGGGGTCCCAGTGTGGGGTGCCCCCCGTACCTGCTCACCTGCCAGCTGAGCATCGTGGCTCAGGGAAATACTGGGGCCACAAGGTCTGGGGTGTGAGGGAGATGGCCCCCCATGCCCCCGCCCAGCACACCTGCTCACTGATGCCATCCCCGTGTGCACAGACTCTCGTGCCAAAGCGCATTTCCTGGGCACCCTGTCCTACAGGTGAGGATGGGCTCTCCAGGCCCCGCCTGTCTGAAGCAGGTTTTTCAAAGACCACCCACCTGGCCTGCTCCAAAGAGGAAACCAGCCCACCCGCAACCAGAAGGTGCAGGGCCGAGGTGGTGGCTTTCAGAGCCGCTGCATGGGAACTCCCTGCCGGATGGAACATGAGACACGGACCACAGGGTGGTGGGGTCTCGGGGCCCACGGTGCTGCGTCCGTGGCAGAGCTGGGGTCTGCTTTAGGGGCTTTGGCCATGTTGGGGGAATTCCCTGAGGAAGCAACCATTGAGCTGAGCTCTGGAGGCTGGAGGGAGCCAGCCCTGCCTGGGTGGTGGGGATGCGGGAGGTGCTCACTTCCTGTCTGACACCCACACAGCTGCACTGCAGCACCCAGGCTGGAGACCACCTGGCCCACCGAGCACACCTGCACCCCTGGTGCCACATAAGCCTCCCTGGTGCCTGCTCCTCTGTGGGAACCTCTTTCCTCTCATTAAGGTAGGAAAGCAGCCTCCGCACACCTTCTCCACGGACCTCAGTTCTAGCCTCAGGAGCTGTGGAGAGCCCACAAGGCTCACCCGACTTCAAGTTCCTGACTGCACCCATCCCATTGGCAATGGTGTCTGCAAATCAAAGTTGATCCCATCAGAGGAGCCCCCATTTCCATAGGGCTTCCTACAGACCAGCACTACCCGAAGTGCTTTGCAGCGCTGTCTCATTTAGCGGTCACAACAATCCTGCAAGTCAGGTACTGTTTGTTATTAACCTTACTGGACAGACAAGGGAATGGAGGTCCAGAGAGGGTGAGTAACTGGCCCCAGGTCACACAGCTAGTACACAGGGGAGACAGGATTCAAACCCAGACCATCCAAGACCAGAGCCCAGACCTGGAGCCACTGTGCTTGAGCCCCTCCCTTCCTGGTCACACCCCCTGGCTTATGGGTGCTCAGGATCCAAGACAAACCACCCAGAGAGGTGCACCCAGCAGCCCTCACGTCACCCAGCTGGAGCCAGCCCTGTCTCACCTTTCTCTCTCAGGTATGTCACCGTGAACCTCAGCACGGGGGGGATGAGTTCGCCTTGATTTTTGTCTTTGAGGCTGAGAAGAGAGAAAAGAAAGGGGCAGTTTTTACCTGAGTTTGATGGGTGATCATAATGAGAAGAGGCGCTGGTCCTCTCCACACCCCTGTGAAAACACAGGACCCAGGCACCATCCAGGAAGACAGAGGCAGGCTCAGCCCTCAGGAAGCAGAAAGTCTGGAGGCCAAATAATAAAATGATAGTGCAGCATTTGAGAACTCCATGAGAGGGATATTTATGATACAGGGAAGACCTGGGGGTTGGGGAGGGCTTCCCCAGGGGGCAACTTCAGAGCTGGGTTTTGAGGGATGAGTAGGAGCCTGCCAGGGGACAAAAGAGAGAAGGGCATTCTACACAGGTGAGCCATACTGAGAAGTCCCAGCAGTATGAGATGGCTTGGCTGTGAGGGCAGAACATGAAGCCCAGGACTGGATGCCGATTCAGTTAAAAAACATAGTTGACAAAAACCCAGTATGTTATCTGGGTTAACCTGTCTCTTACTGTGCTATTTTAAGACAGAGATTCACGTAAAGAAATGTTGGCCAGGCACAGTGGCACACACCTGTAACCCCAGCAGTTTGGGAGGCCAAGGCAGATGGATCAGTTGAGCCCAGGAGTTCAAGACTAGCCTGGCCAACATGGTGAAATCCTGTCTCTACCAAAAATACAAAAATTAGCCGGGCCTGATGGTGTACACCTGTAATCTCAGCCACTCTCCAGGCTGAGGCAGGGGACTCACTTGAACCCATGAGGTGGAGGTTGCAGTGAGCTGAGATCGCGCCACTGCACTCCAGCCTGGACGATAGAGCAAGACTCATCTCAAAAAATGAAATAAAATAGGCCGGGCGTGGTGGCTTACACCTGTAATCCCAGCACTTTGGGAGGCCGAGGTGGGTGGATCACTTGAGGAGTCAGGAGTTTGAGACCAGCCTGGCCAACATGATGAAACCCTGTCTCTACTAAAAATACAAAAATTAGGTGAGCATGGTGGCGGGCACCTGTAGTTCCAGCTACTTGGGAGGCTGAGGCAGGAGGATTGCTTGAACCCAGGAGGCGGAAACTGCAGTGAGCTGAGATCGTGCCACTGCACTCCAGCCTGGGCAACAGAGCAAGACGACGTCTCAAAATAAAAAAAAAAGAAAAAACCAATTTACAGATGAGGAAACTGAGGCTCAGGACATGGACAGAACCTGCCCAGGGTCCCACAGTGTGAAGAATCATCACTGGTCACCGTGGTGGGCAGAATAATGGCCCCCAAAGAAATCCATGTCCTAATCCTGAGCACTTATGACAACCTATGGCAAAAGGGATTCTGTAGGTATAATTAAATTGAGGATCTTGTTTTTTATCTTTTTATTTACTTATTTTTTGAGGCAGGGTTTCCCTATGTTGCCCAGGCACCTCCCTGGGATTATATGTGTGTGTCACCATGCTCAGGTAAACTGAGGCTCCTGAGATGGAAGACTGACCAGGACTATATGGGGAGGCTCAATCCTATGCTCGGAATGTTTAGGCCCCGTCAAATTTCCTAAGTTGAAATTGTAACCCCCAAAGTGATGTCATTAGGAGGTGGGCCTGTGTGAGGGGACTGGGTCACTGAGAATGTGATTAGTGCTCCTTTTTAATTTTATTTTTATTTTTTATTTTTGAGATGGAGTCTTGCTCTGTCACCCAGGCTGGAGTGCAGTGGCGCAATCTCTGCTCACTGCAACCTCTGCCTCCTGGGTTCACGCCATTTTCCTGCCTCAGCCTCCTGGGTAGCTGGGACTACAGGCACCGCCATCATGCCTGGCTAATTTTTTGTATTTTTAGTAGAGACGGGGTTTCATCGTGTTAGCCAGGGTGGTCTCGATCTCTTAACCTCGTGATCCACCTGCCTCCGCCTCCCAAAGTGCCAGATTACAGGCGTGAGCCACTGTGCCCGGCCTAGCGCGCTTTTAAAAGCAACCCCAGAGAGCTTCCCCTTTCTCCACATGAGGACGCGGCTAGGAGGCACCATCTATGAACCAGCAAGCAGGTCCTCATCCTACACCGAATCCTCAGCATGAAAAGGGATGTGCCGGCTTCCTTGAGCGGCGAGCCAACAGCACTGACGAAAATCATTCCAACCAGGCCACACAGAGGCGGTCCACGTCACAGCTGAACAAATGGGCCCAGCGAGCTACAGTTACTTGCCCGAATCTGGTGGCACACAGACTTCCCAGCCTCCAGCTCTATAAGAAATAAATCTCTGTTGTTTATAAGCCACTCCGTTTATGGTACTTTGTCATAGCAACCGGAACAGATTAAGATACCTGACAGGATCACAAAGATCCTTGCAGAGGATCTTGTGAGCAGAAGGGAGAGAGGATGTAACAAGGCAAGCTGGGCCAGAGTGATGCGCTAAGAAAAAGATGGAAGGGAGGGCCGGGAGCCAAGGAGCATAGGCGCCTCTGGAAACTGGAAGATAAACGGATACCCTCCAGAGCCTCCAGAAAAAATGCAGCCCTGCCGAGATTCTGATTTCAGGACTTGCGACCTCTGGAATCACAAGAAAATAAATATGTGTTGCTTTAAAGCCACTCTGACAGCAGTCACAGGTCCCCAGGACCCTGTCTGGATCAACAGAATTTGACAGAAGCAACGGTTCAGTTTCTGGGCCAGGTCCTTCTCTCCCGTCCTAAAGAGCCTGACTCTTCCCACCTGTGATCTCGGGAACCTTTGCGCTGGAAGCCCCGAGCTGCCCTGGACGAAACGCAGCTATCCTGGGAACGTCACGCCGGGGACACTGCGGGCAGGTGCTCCGGCCAACAGTCCCCACTGAGGCCAGAGGTGCAGGATCATGAGGCATGTCTTGGATGATCCTGGCCAGCCACCAGCTGGACACCACCACGTGCCCTCTGCCAACGCCCCACGGGCAAACTCACCTGGCCGAGTTCTGCCCAAATTCCACAAATGTCAGGAACCATGTAACGTGGTTGCTGTTGGAAACTGCTAAGTCCTGAGAATCTGTGAAGCGGTAACAGGTAACGGAAGACTCGGTCATGATGGAAAGGGCCCGACTGAAACCCACCGGGCTGAGAGTGAAGCCTTTCCTCCACGTGTGTATCGTCTGCCTCATTTCCACCATCATTTCATGAGCCCAAGTTAGAGATCAGAAGAGGACACTGGGAGAGGCCAGGTGACCAGCTCAAGGTCCCGTAACCGAGGGGTGGCCCGGGGAGGCCAGCCCGGCCTGGGCTTCCATCTCTGCTCCTCCTGCTGCGCTCCACGGCCCCCTGCGAACGTCTCTCTGTCGGAAGATTTTCAGGTGAACATGGTATCGAGTGTGCTTTAGCTTTATTCCAAGATTTACAGAAGAATCCGCTGATCCACTTAAATGGCGATTAAAACTCTGTCCACAGCCATAAGGCTTCTGCATATCCTAATCTCGATGGATGGTTTGGTTTCACGGCCATTTCACTTTTGCTGAAGCTTCACACTGGGGACACTGAGCAGCAATCCACAGCTCCCCGAGGTGCCGGGGGGCCTGGTGTGGCCTTCAGGAGGTCCTGCTGCTGCAGGAATACAGACCTGGCGCCCCGCCTCTTTCCCATCTTGGTTTCCACTCTGGGAGGGCGAAGGTGCCCTGGAGCCCACAGAGACAGTGTCCCTGGGGAGGGAGGAATGTGGCAGGCAGGTCCTTTTCTCCCAGGATGCGCCAAAGTTACAGGCTCTTTTCCTCCCCTCTGCCTCCTTAAGGAGCCAGACAGACCCTTCCAAGCCCTGGCCCTCCCTGCCCTTAGGAGCTAAATCACCACTGGCCAGTTTCCTTATCCTCTCTAGCCTCAGTTTCTCAAATGGAAAGCAGAGATGCTGGCGCTCTCTCTCCAGGGTCTGCAAATATTAAACGGCAATGGAGGTGCAGGCTTTGCTGAGCTACAGGCCAACGGCACTGACGAAAATCGTCCCAATGCCAGGGGCTGAGCAGCCTCCCAGGCCGCACACAGGTGGTCCATGTCACAGCTGAACAAATGGGCCCAGTGAGCTACGGGGACTTATCCGGGTTCACGCAGCTGGAGAGCCCGCATCCACTGATTCCAAAGTCCTGGCTGGCTACTGTTCCCAGGGAGGGGGCCTCACTGAGTCCTGCTGAACAGGCGGGACAATGCAGAGTTATGAGGAGAACGAGTTCCTGAAAGATCCCTTTGCCTACTGCTCTGTCTCTGCACTGTCCTTTAAAAGCAGACTCTCAGGCGGGGAATGGTGGCTCACGCCTACAATCCTGCACTTTGGGAGGCTGGGGTGGGTGGATCACTTGAGATCAGGAATTCCAGACCAGCCTGGGCACTATGGAGAAACCCTGTTTCTACTACAAATACAAAAATTAAGGCCGGGCATGGTGGCTCACGCCTGTAGTCCCAGTACTTTGGGAGGCCGACGCAGCAGATCACGAGGTCAGGAGTTTAAGACCAGCCTGACCAACATGGTGAAACCCCATCTCTGCTAAAAATGCAAAAATTAGCCAGGTATGGTGGCACGTGGCACATGCCTGTAATCCCAGCTACTCAGGAGGCTGAGGCAGGAGAATTGCTTGAACCCAGGAGGCGGAGGTTGCAGTGAGCCAAGATCGTGCCAT